TTATTTTTGTATATTGCTGTTGCAACTAAAACTTAAAAACCAGATCACACTTTTATGTAAATTAACTGCATATTTGTTTATTCCATTAATTTTAGTAACACTTGCTGATGCATAGAAATAGAAGACATTGCAGTGCGACAGATAGTTCAACCTCCAGAGCTACAATGAGTTTATAGCAGGTGTGTAAATGATGTGATCTGATGAAATTTAGCTTAGAGCTCCATGCAGGCTTGGGCCGGACCTGGATCCTGCCTTGCAAGCAAATAATCCTCACAGTTTAATTCCTGTAAGATAATTAAACTTACTTTCCAAATTCTATACTGCATCTAAAATCTATTCAGAATGGAAAACCATGTTGTGCAGACATGCTAACGTCATGTATAGATATTTATATCTCTGACCATGCATTCTTTTTATAAGACTGGCTCCTTTGCAGAGGAGGGGATAAATCTGAGTCAATCTCTGAATGAGAACAGTTATTATTGCTGGAAACCTGCAGGCAAATTGCACCGGTGGAAGATTATCAGCACTCCTTACACTCTAAAAATACCACTCAGATGACATCCTTTTGTGCCCCTACCAACAGCCCCCGTTCTCCAACCATCAGCTCTGCTCCACATACAGCAAAAAATGGATCTTCTTCCTGTCCAGCATTCACCCGCTCCTCCGCTTCAACGTAAAGAGGAAACAAAGACACAGACCACGGCAGGATAATCTGGTTTGGTGATGTTCAGCCAAACTTTGCTACTCCATGTAATTTCCTGCTGCTTAGAAGCCCTTACCATAAACTGAATATGCCTGAAATTCCTCTTCTGCTAATATTGGTTTCAGAAAGAACAATTTTTTTTATGGTAAATTCTGTAATTGAGAACACTCACTTAGCCCTGCACGACTTTTGCAATTTCACATTTAATTTGATATTGATTAAACTGCTGATCAGAGGCTGGTTGTTTGTTTCCATGGTAACTTATCAAGTGTAGCTCCGAGGGAAAAAAGCAGATATTTTTCTTTGATAATAACCCTTTATGGGTTGATGAGATGCAGGGATAATGTTTACATGTTTTCTGGCTCTCCCTTGATGTGGAAATTACAATCCAGCACATTTTTTTCTGTTAATGCAGGAATTAATCATCAGTACATTTTCTGGTCTCAGCTGTAGCATTAGGACCAGCACATAATGGTTGCCTCTGAGTTAATTACAGAACAGCAATAAGAATGGTAATCTGAGCCACCGATCACAGGCTACAAGGGGCTAGAATTTAACTTTTACTGAAGCATATAGCTGAGCATATAGCTTTGTGTCTTTCTTTTCTTTCTCTTAAATATAAATGACAGAAAAATAGATTCAGAATTAAAAAAAACAGTCAGCATTATTATTTCTGTGCAAAATAAATCCAATATATGATTCAAATACACTGTTTGGAAAGCTGAGATATTTGAGATAATTGGTATTAACAGGAGAGGACACAGTTAACCTTTTAGCCATTTACACTAGATTGATGTAAGGCTGCATTCTATCTAATGACCAACAGGTGGCAGTATGTTTGTTGAGTATTTGTTTAGTAGTTGTTTAGTACTAATAGTATTTAAATTCAAATCAAATAAAAAATTACAAAATACATTTTAAATGCCAAACAGAATTTTTTATTAAATTCTATAATTATTCCTCCTAGGAAAATACACAAAATTATCTAAAATTGTTTGAACCTCATCAATAAACTATTAGATTCTAAAATAGATCATATGTTGAAATAAAACTATTACTGATTTATATTCTGAGTAGGAACGTTTAAAGGTGCAAAAACTGACATCCATATCCAACTTATTTTTAAACTTTAAATAATGTTCTAATGTACGGCTTTTCTTACTGTTGACGTCTCTGAGCGTGGATGTAAAATATATGAGAATTTTGCGTTGTTGTTCTGCAGTTATCAGCTCACAGAGACCGTCCATGTAAAGGCTGCTGGTATTTGATAATTTCAAGGTTTCAAGTGTGATGAGTGAGAAGTGGCAGTGTGTGGGAGGGAGGAGCCCAGTGCAGGCTTTCAAACTCAGAGTGCATCAAACAGGGATTACAACTCATTTCTCTGGGTATCTCACCTCTCTGTGCCTCAAATCCACATTTATTGTTAGTGTTAGCGGTAAAATTCAACTGCAATGTGGATCCCTTTGTGATAGGAAAACATATCAGCCATGAAATCACCACATTTAGGACCACTATACACACAACTACCTAACATACATGTATATATACCGGTATATACATATTCAATTAAATTCATTTTACTTCTATAGCGCCAATTCACAACACAAGTCATCTCAGGTCACTTTCCAGTTCACCAGATC